AGTGTTTTTGCTAGTTTCAGCCCGACGCAGTTCTCATTTTCCCGTCCTGCACCGCATTGTTTAAATAGCAAATGTATTTGCGCCCATGGGCGTGCTGGTCTAAAAAAGAGGTGTGTTCAGGCGCATTGGAACTGAAAATAAATTGCGCCATAGACCAACTCAAACCTGGTCTAAAACCTGGTTTTCTTTGTTATTTAAAGAGCGCGTTAGTAATATGTGCCTAAAGGTGGGTGCACAACGCGCATACACTTTGCTTATTACACACACAGGGGCGTGCAGCAGCACACAAACATTTTGAAAAATGAAAAATTACATTCCGCCCTGTAAATAGCGACCCCGCCATGGCGCGAGTGCAACTGGTTTTTAAAGGGGATGGGAGATGAGACTCTGATTGGTTTATTGCACGTTACGCCCAAAAAACACCCATTACTCATTAAGAGAATATGGACAACCCATTTAGACCATGCGCCTGGGCGTACCAACCATTTTCCCGTCGTTAAACTAGCCAAAGATGTGGATTCGGACACGCCCTGAGTGCACTTTAGACCATGCGCTTAGATCATTAAAATAGGGCCCTTAAGCTTTGCTATCTTGACAATGCAGCCTGTTCATTATCATAATAAAATACAGTCAGTCAAACATATGGAAAAAAACTGTAATAAAAAAAAAAAATGTGTAAAAAATATGTAGTAAAATCTGTTAAGCCATTAAGGTTAAGTGTTATCACTGTACCGCCGTGATGTAAAACATTTTGTTTTACGTGGATATTGGTACGCGAGTGAAGTACATAAATAATAATTTGCCATTCAAATACATCGCGAATACGGAAACATTTGATTTTGTGTGGAATGAGAGACCCAACGTTGGTTTCAGTTTCGTTTTAACCTAAATTAATTCATTTTGGCTTGTCATTTATATGGCTATAGCTTCTTATATTTTTAATTCTTTAATACTGTTAATTGAAAGGCTTTGTTGTGGAGTGAGGGGAACTAACACTAGCTATGTTTACAGTGTTTATTATAATGTTTGCAAACATTTCGCGTCGGCATTAGGTCTATTTCTGAATAAAATAATAAAATGTAAAAATAAATAATTAAATTACTTTTTAAACCATTAATTTAAACCAGTATTAATTGGTCAAAATTCTTACCCTCGGTTAACTGGTTAAACGGTTAAAATGAACATCCCTAGTTCATATAGGATACATTATATAATATATATCAATTATTAAGAATATTATATATTATGTTATATTAAAGAATATGTTTTAAACTAATAAAACAGTTTGTAATTCCTAAAAACGTCAAAGTTGGCGTTGGCAGTTGACGTCAAAGACAGCACACAGTGGAAAAGGTCTGTTTTACACTTTTAACAGATTCTGAAAATAATCAGGCACTGGCAAACATCTAATATTCTATTTCACTTATGTCACACTGCAGAAATTAAATGTTTTGCTAATGTAATTTCATGTTGGGTTTAACCTGGAATATGACATAAATGTATCAACATTTGGCTTACAGGATTGATGGCATATGGAGTCAAGCTTCTTGTTTGTTGGTTTAATAATTTAGTTTTATATGGAAACTGATTGTTATATGTTTTTGTTTCATTCCAAGGAACATGGACACCTTTCAACCCTGTGACTGTTAGATCAATTATATGTGAGTATTGTTATATTCTATGATTCACAAAACCATAGACAATGCTGTCTTTTTCTCTTTTTCAATCCTCTGTTTGTTTGTGAGCTCTATGACAACCTGCAGTGTTTCCTATTAGCACACTTCTCTAAGAAAGGTTCACTTGTTTCAGCTCAAACTGGAAGAATGTAGCTGTCATCTGCCTTGGAAGTAGCTCAGAAAGTGGAAGGTTTTTGTCTTAAACAACTGAAATCGGCAGAGCTTTTTTAGTCAATAATAATTGACTGTGTGTAATGATTCCTAACTCTAGAATAAGGTGATCACTTTCAGCTCATTTCAAGTGGATACACATGGCCTCCATAACATTGTGATCTTTCTTGAATACATTTTCAGAATTTTTTGTCCATCTCAAATAGTTTTTGGGATTGTATCTGCACTCAATCTTTTCAAATCCAGGGCAAAATGTTATGAATGTACATTTTGTACAAAATGTTATGAATGTACACTCCCTTTGCCAGCTTCTCACTGACAACATAGTGATGCCGCTCGCATCATTCACAGTCGGGTTATTAGCAGAGAACACAGAGCAGGATTAGAATTTCGGCGTGGGATTGCAGCTATTAATAACAATTCTACTCATTCCCGCAGGTTCCTCACTTATAACGCGATGACAGATGAAGGGATGTATCATTTGCATGTGCTTTTGAGTCTTGAGAACTCACTCGCATGCTCTCATTTTCTGTGTGCCCACAGATCGCAATAAGGAGAGTGACCGCTTTTAATAGTAGAGTTTGCAAATGTGATATTAATTTAATACAGCAGTTCAGTAAACAAGTACTGCCTGATTTTGCTCTATTTCTTTAACGAAAAAGGGTCCAAATATAGTAACAGCTCAGCTGCTGCACATCTCTAAAAGCAAACACAGCGGTGTTTCATTCATTCAATGAAAGTGCGCTTTTGAACGAATCTAGTGAGTCAGTGATTCATGATTCCCCAATCATAAAGACAGTCACTTGCTTCATTGCTGAATGAATCAGCCATTCGAACGAATCAATTGAATGAATGATTCAGTGATAAAATCAGTGACTTGCCGCCACCAGCTGGCGGATTTAGTTTAATTTTTTGTGTATAATTTCAGTTATTTCAATAATTTAATATTTCTGTATTCAAAATTTTATATTTAAAACATTAATCTCCACATAAATGTATAAATTTAATTGCACTCATGCCACCTCTGAGCCTCATTAAACGTCTAAAAATGTACCTACAAGCCACTTTTGTGTTCTTCTGTGCCACCTCTGTAGTACAAATACATTTTTTATTAATACTAATTTCATATTATTGGTAACCTCTTTGTCTTATTCTACTTCTTATTATATTGTTTTCAATAGAAATTTTAAAAAGCTTATAAACATACATTTGTGAATTGGACATAGATGCCATTACAAAGGTAAAAAGAAAATACCCCTGTAAGTCACTTTAAGGAGTCAAATATCACCTCGTATTAGGAAGGCAAATTTTTGATCAGAATGTTTTTATTATTGATCAGAAGGTGCTCCTACATTTTTTTAATTAGGAGGACAATCGCTCCTAATTACAAGAAGAAAAAAATTGCTTTTAAACTGGGTGTGTGACGGGTTTGGCTGTGGAATGGGGTTTGGCTTTCATTGCTGAATGAATCAGCCATTCGAACGAATCAATTGAATGAATGATTCAGTGATAAAATCAGTGACTTGCCGCCACCAGCTGGCGGATTTAGTTTAATTTTTTGTGTATAATTTCAGTTATTTCAATAATTTAATATTTCTGTATTCAAAATTTTATATTTAAAACATTAATCTCCACATAAATGTATAAATTTAATTGCACTCATGCCACCTCTGAGCCTCATTAAACGTCTGAAAATGTACCTACAAGCCACTTTTGTGTTCTTCTGTGCCACCTCTGTAGTACAAATAAATTTTTTATTAATACTAATTTCATATTATTGGTAACCTCTTTGTCTTATTCTACTTCTTATTATATTGTTTTCAATAGAAATTTTAAAAAGCTTATAAACATACATTTGTGAATTGGACATAGATGCCATTACAAAGGTAAAAAGAAAATACCCCTGTAAGTCACTTTAAGGAGTCAAATATCACCTCGTATTAGGAAGGCAAATTTTTGATCAGAATGTTTTTATTATTGATCAGAAGGTGCTCCTACATTTTTTTAATTAGGAGGACAATCGCTCCTAATTACAAGAAGAAAAAAATTGCTTTTAAACTGGGTGTGTGACGGGTTTGGCTGTGGAATGGGGTTTGGCTTTTTTTTTTTTTTTTTGCTTTAAACCCTGTTTATGGCGCTATTTCAAAAATTGTCCAATATGTTCTGTCAAAGACAGAACAAAACGGTACTAATAATTGGGGGTGGAGATGGGGTAGCGTGAAAAAAAAAAAAACACTGCGTGTGTTGATGGGCAGCCTAGAGCCCTGAGCGGGACAGTTTTCTTAAGCCCGCTCCCGCTGTATTTCTGACCATTACCGCCCGCTCCCGCAACATGTGTGTCCCGTTCCCACAAACATTCTAATATTGTATATAATTTTTGCACATCATATATCAATATGCGGGGTATTGAAATCGCATTTGAATGAGCGCTAGCTGTTCACTTTCGATTTCCTGATCACGCGCACGCTGTGTAAAGGGAGCACATCTTACAGTGTGTGCATAATTATTAGGCACTTTGGTATTCTGATCATATGTTTTTCCAAGCACATTTTACCAATTCCAAACCACATCAATCTTAATAACTACTATTATTTTTGTATTTAATCATTTAGAAGTGATATATAATTGTCCATGAAGGTTGGAAATGAAAAACTCATTAAGGTGTGCAGAATTATTAGGCTGGTTATCTTTTATGAAATTAAATGAGCCAAAAAAGAGATTTAACTCAGACTGAGAAGTCAAAAATTATTAAATACCCATGAGAAATATAAAAAACTAATGCAATACAGAAATTTCAAAGTTAAGGCATGGTCAGCAAAATGCTCATTGGGTCAGCGTGGTCAGTACTTCGCTTGGGTAAAAAATCCTAAAAAATGGCCCCTACTAAATAAGAATAACATTCTGAAGTGTGAAATACATGAAGACTATTTGTATAGGCTTTATGGACAGATAAGTTGAAAGTGACTCTTTAAGGACCAGCACCACATCCTCTTGTTCCACTGTTAGAAGAATTTATCTTCCAGAATCTGGCAGTACGTTTTAGGAGCTCATTTTTGGCAGTCTCTGCAAGACAGACTTTTCAGGATAGGAGATGGACTAAAAATTAACTCCCAAAACTTACTGCAACATGGAGCTATAATTGGAAAAACAGCTTAGTGAAAAGTGTTTACAGTTTAAAAGCAAATAGAAAGTCCTATTTTTTTTCTTTTCTTTATATATTTTTTTTTTTGCAGATTTGCACGTTCATAAAATATTGACGTTTTGAGCAGCTGCATTCCCCTAGGTCAGGGGTAGGCAAGTTCGGTCCTAGAGAGCCACAGTCCTGCAGAGTTCAGCTCCAACCCTAATAAAAAACACACCTGAACAAGCTAATCAATGTATTCAGGATTACTAAGGCAATAGGCAGGTGAGTTTTGTTTTCAGGGTTGGAGCTGACCTCTGCAGGACTCCGGCTCTCTACGACCGAACTTGCCTTCCCCTGCTCTAGGTCAAAGATGAAAAAATGGGATTTACAATAAAAAGTACTTTACAAAATTAGTTTGACTTGAGTTTTATTAATGAGTAATGTCTCTTTTGAGTGAATGTGCAAATTTTTTATGTTAACAGGCTTTACCATGTTATTACAACCACTTTTTTATTAATTAAAAAATTTAGAAATTCTTTCAAATTTTAATCTTGTACAAGAACTACAGCAAAAACCAGTTTGATGCATATTTGATCATTATTTTAGAAATTGTATTTGAATATTACCAGTACTGACTTCAATGGATTTCATTAAATTCCTTTGAACACAACTGCTCAAAACGGTCTAAATTTATGAAGCCTACACATTCAAAACATTATTACTCTGAAATGTTTAATGTAAATGTTAAGTGTAAGTGAAATGTTAAGTACTGTAAGGTCTTTCATGACACTACATATTCTGGGTTGTGAATTTGATAGGTGCTTAATATAAAATAAATGGTGCTTTAAAAAGTCCTTGAATTTGGTGTTCATGAAAGACTGGGAATCCTGATCATAAAAGTGGTCTATGTGAGTCGTGCACTACATTCATAGTCTTCTGAAATCATTCGATTTGCTGCAACCCTTGACATTCGCCATGGCTCTCAAGAAGAGTTCATGGCTCTGTTTACACCAGGTGTAAGATGCGTTTTCCAAGATCCAATCACAAGTGGTCATGCAAGACGCTTTACCGTTTACACATGGTCTTTTGTGTCTGTTCGAACACATTCGACCGCATGAGCATCTACTCTACAAAAGCAATCTGGTCAAATGCATTTTGGGCTAACTCTTGAAGTGGTTGAAAGTGAACAAGCTCAAAACGTTTTAGATCCTATTTACTCCTGTATTTAATGTTTAATGTCCACTTGGAATCTTAAAACCAGGTGATTTGTGATTCATCTTTTCAATGAATCGGTTGATCTATTTGACAACTAGTCTAAATGATTTTTAAACTGCTCCATTATTTTCAGTCACTTGTACCCAGAAACACAGTTATTTTTATTACTGTTTCTACTGCAAACTAGTGCTGTCAAATGATTAATCAAATCCAAAATAAAAGTTTTTGTTTACATAATAAATATACACAGTACACACGCATATATTATGTATATATAAATACACAAACATACATGTGTATATATTGAAAAAATATTTACATGTTTATTTATATTCATATTTGGGGAAATCGTGGCCTAATGGTTAGAGAGTTGGACTCGTAACCCAAAGATTGCGGGTTCGAGTCTTGTACCGGCAGGGATTGTAGGTGGGGGGAGTGAATGTACAGCGCTCTCTCCCACCTTCAATACCACGACTGAGTTGCCCTTGAGCAAGGCACCGAACCCCCACTGCTCCCCGGGCGCCGCAGCATAAATGGCTGCCCACTGCTCCGGGTGTTTTCATGGTGTGTTCACTGCTGTCATGGTGTGTGTGTTCACTGCTGTGTGTGTGCACTTTGGATGGGTAAATGCAGAGCACTAATTCTGAGCACTGGCCACATGTCACTTTACTTTATATATTATTTATATTATTAAAATATTATATATAAATATAAATATTTTAGATATAAACAAAAAAAATTTCTTAAATATATACATGCATGTGTGTGTATTTATATATACATAATAAATATTCACAGTACACACACATATTATGTAAACACAAACTTTTTATGGATGCAATTAATTGCGATTAATCTTTTGACAGTAAGATTGTATTACTGTACTGCGTACAACGGAAATCACAATGCTCAAAAAGCATTTTCATTAACAACGTTTGGATTTTAAATCAAAATGGATAAATGTTGTGTTTGTGGTAAACAGCCACGGATGAGTTGCGGACTCCTGTGTGAAAGCACAATATGAGACCGTGTTGCTTCTGTACCGCTTACATACCGCACATGGACTACACATGCACTGCAAACGGAATAGGCTTGCCCCATTATAAAAACAAAAATGCACTGCATGATCAAACACTTAGGTGAGATAATTATATACTTTTGAAAAATGTAAAAAAAAAAAAAAAACCCCACTCCACCCCACAAGAGTCACCTAAGAGGGGAATTCTGCCCATTTTCAAAAATGAAATTCAGGCCCTGAATGAATGTCTGTAAAAATCCTACATGTCTACATGACAAAAAGAAGGCTTCAAAAAAGACCGGTATCGGTGATTGGTAACGGCAGATACTGCTTCCTGTGATCGACGATCGGTGATCGCCCCAAAAAATCCTGATCGGAGCACCCTTATTTGACAGCACTACTGCAAACTGAAATAACCTTTGTGCATAATTCAAAGTGTTTGGGGGTCAAATAAATTTACAGATTTGGTCACGTTTGTTCATGAATGGTTCTTGAATTCAGCTCACTGATGTAGTGATCCAGTTACAGTGGTTCAGTTTACTGGAGGTGAAGATTATCGGTGAATAAACCTACATTTTGGCCTGTTCCTAACATAAATATCGTTGGACTTCAGAAGACTTGGAATATATTGCTCTCTTGACTCAGACCACTTTTATTTATACTTTCATGGTGCTTTTGTCTTTTTTGAAGCTTAGTTTGTAATGAAGTGATGTTCACCTTATACTGATTATGTATATTTGAATTTGAACAGAGGTTAACTGACGTCTTCCGGCGGTATGACACCGATCAGGACGGTTGGATCCAGGTGTCATACGAGCAGTATCTCTCAATGGTCTTCAACGTGGTATAGCACAACAAAAGCACACCTGCACTCTCCTGTGCCAAACAACAAATGTCCCTCCCCATGCAGTCTGTAGCAGAGACTAGTCAACACTACCCTCTACAGGACAACACGGGGATGGGATCTTTATGACTCTTCATTCCATTTATCTGTTAGTAGTTATATCATATTTCTTTATTACCTTAACTATTCTTATTGAAAGAATTATGGAATATCACTCTCTCTGTGTTTAAGGAATGTTGACATTGTGAAAATCATATTACGTCTCAGTTGCATGCTTTCTGATAAACCTCCTTAATGTCAAAGCATGAACTAATGTTTCTTTTTGTGGCTGAATTCATGTTTACAACGAAATACTGTGAGAGCAGGTTGTGTTTCGCCATAAGATCCTTTTATTTGGATTGACTGTCAGCTCTTCCATATATTTGTAAAGAATTCTATTTTTAAGCTGCACAATGTAATTCAACCTTTTATTTTAGGAAGGACATATGCTTTTGTATGCCTTTTTCATGCATGATGCCTTACAACTGTTAAAATAACAAAAAAAGATAACTGTTTTATTAAAAACTGGAACCTGTTTGAAAATGAGTCTTTAATTTGTATTTGTATTTTAATAGTTTATTATTTTTATTTTTTTATATTAAGGACAGAGACACCTACCAATAGCTTGACAGCACACATAAGATAATGGAGTTTCATTACTGTCAAATGTCAACAACAAATCTATATTTTTAAAGGTTGGATTGCATGTTTATGATTTCTCTGTATGCACAATTCTACCCCCTAGTGGATGATTTTGAGCAATACATGATTGGGCATGTTAAATACATACATATTCTAGCAAAGCAATTAAAAATCTAAATATTATATATATATATATATTAGAATTTAAGTTTTATATTTGAAATTTAATATTTCAACAATAATGGTTTATGATGTGAGGAAAACATTTTGCTAATTTGTAAAACGTAAAGGATATCATTAGGATTTTTTTTTTTTTAACTTTAGAACCACTACTAAATATGTTGAACAAGATTCGATAATAGTCAATCAAGATGCTGGATAGACTGAGATTTTTAAGAGAAAATTAAATCAGAAGGATTACACGTATATATTTTAATAGAGCATTATAGTTTTTCTCATTCCACACAAATACAAACAGAAATCGCATGACTAATGAATGTTGCTGAATCATGTTTCTGTTTTGGTTATCACCTAGGTCCTAGAAAAAATAAAAGTTTCTATGACATTCTCCTGCCGAGATATGATCATTTAAAAAACTATAGCATTTTTTTTTTGCATTGTTTCATTGTAATCTATTTTTGCATTCTTTCATAAGGTAGATGTTTACCGGATATAAATACACTTACTGATCTGCTGTCTGAATTTTCTCAGATTGGAGAAAGAAGGAAATTAATATGCATATTCTGCAACTTCTGTCATTTTCTGATTACAGTTTAATGCACATCTGTATGAATAAAATATATAAAGAATTTTTAAATATATGTGGTATGAGTATTAGGACGTTGTATTTGGTTTGAGTATTAGGATGTGTCTCACAGTTGCAAAATGAGACGTACAAGCAGAGAAGTGTTTGCCCAGGCAGCCGTGAGCATCGGGATGGAGGTGAACACACCGCCCAGCCCTGAGCACTCGCGGCTGGATGATTGGTTTCTCGGTGGGAGTGCGGCTGACAACCGCGCTCTGCCCCAGTTCCTTTCTTCCTGGAGGTGCATGAAGAGGTCTCGATGTTGTCAACAAGACGTTGACATAGTTTGCTTTTTTGTTGCTCCCATCTCACAGGCTGGCCTATTCGGCAACACTGTTGAGGAGCAATTCTTGGCAGTACAGAAGCAGACTGAGGCCATCAAACACATCATGCCCTGACGTGACCCCCCTCCTGCCACCCATCCGTCAAGGGCCAGCAGCCTGCTCGTCGCCATGGGTGCCCTCCTGCGTCCTCCACAGGTGCTCCGTCCCATGCTGAGACTACATTGAAGCCGGCACGTCGAGCACCACGCAGAAAAGTTGCACTCCCCATGTACCAGTCCGCCGCTAAGTCCGAAGGCTTCTGAAATCAACAAGCTGGAAGAGCAACGAATACTGGCTGAAGTGGAGGAGGAAGCGTTGTGCATGAAGGCAGAAGAGGAGAAGTGGGCCGGCTTAATAGCCAGACTAAAGGCTAACAACAGACCCATTTCCCAACGCTTTTCATAGCAAATGCCCACTCGCTTGACAACAAGATGGACTTAATGCGACTCGGAGTAAGCAGTTATAAGGAAATGAGGAATTGTTGTGTACTTCTGTTAAAGGAGACATGGATATGTAACAATACCCCAGACTCAGTTTACCATATCGATGGGTTACTCCCCTTCCGAGCAGACAGAAATCATCTGTTGGGGAAAACTTGCGGAGGGGGACTCTGTGTTTACATAAAGGCTGGTGTATGAACTGCTCTCCGGTAAACAGCCACTGTTCTGAAGAAGTGGAATATTTGACATTGAAAGGCCAACCATACTACCTGTCTCTGGAGTTTACAGTTGTGTTTATTGTGGCTGTTTACATAGGGTGACCATATGTGCTATTTTCCAAGGTGCTGCAGAGTGTGGTCAAATCTTCCCAAAAAACTCACAGCAGCCTCCCCTCCATTGAGGACATTTATACCAGCAGGTGCAGAAGCAGAGCATTCTGTATTATGAAGGATCCCACCCACCCTTTCCCCTCAGGCAGGAGGCTAAGAAGCATTTAAGCCAGAACAACAAGGCTCAAATGCAGCTTCTTTCCAGAGGCAGTAAGACTCACGAATTCCCTGCCTTAGTGACTTATCTCTCTGCTGTGCTGTTTCTTCTTAATATTGCTCTGGTTTAATATGCTAATATGATGCACTGCTTTTTAAACTTGCGGTTTAATTATTTATTATTAATAAATAAATAAAAAATCGTTTTTCAGGTATTTTATTTTAAATTTAGTTTATTCATTATTTTTAACTTATTGTATGCATATTTGCAGTGTTGGGGAAAGTTACTTTTAAAAGTAATGCATTA